GTTCAGACGTGTGCTCTTCCGATCTTATATATATATATATATATATAGACAAATGGATATAACTATCCGTGAAAAAACGTTAGTCATTAATACACGTAAAGAACGATTTTGTTGAAAGTTCTAAAAATTTTGCTAAAAACAGATCTGAAAATAATTTTTTATTATTTTAAAGATAAATATTATATATATATATATATATATACTATTTATCCTTAAAAAAATGTTTCTTATATTTCTTCTTTGTGCTCTCGCTGAAAATACTATATTAATGACTAACGTTTTTTCACGGATATTTGTATCCATTTGCTATTCATTTTAATGCTGCGTCTGTGCCAAAGGAAACTGTGCGACAAGCAATACTACATGAAAGTCCTGGCCGCAGGATCAGGCCGGTAATAACAAATTTTGGCCACAATGATGTTAGAACGACGGTGAGGAGGCAACGTTGCGTTAATCCCGTCGAGCAGAACGGTTAACGAAGCCATTTACATCGCAATTACTTATGATTCACGTAACCGTGAAACCCCGGTTGCAAGTGAAATTTGTCTCTTGCGCGGAAGGGTTAATTGCCTGATCCGCGGAATGCCACGCGGAAGAGAGTGTGGCTTCCAAAACGCAACACGGCAAAGCAGAGTGGGCTGCTTTCGACTGCCGGGTGCAGAATCAGTTCGCGCTGCGCCGGGGACTGCCTCCCGAGCCAAAAGTTTGTCAAACGACCGCAATTGTAGGGGGGAAGGAGTTAATTAACGCTTGGCGAAAGGCGAAATTTCATTTGACTGAATTTTTCGGACGCAATTTCGCGATGTCCGCGATTGATATTGACGCGCCACAGTTTATTACCGCATTCAGAAAATGTTCACTCGTAATACGACGTCAAATATTTCTTGTGATAAAAATATAGTCAGTTACAGTCAGTTAAACATGCTTGATTATTTTATTTTGTTATTAAAAACTTTTAATTGAGAAAACTAGTAATCTCAAAGTGACTGTTGCGGAAGTAGTAGCGTCGTAAATTTTATAAATTAACAATGCAAAAGAGAAAAGTTTCTTCTCTTTTATGGCAAAAATGTATTAATTTAAATTTATTTGACATTATCAAGTATCCGTAATAATCGTTTAAGATAATAATGATTATAATTAACTGGCGGATAAAAATACAAAAATTAGAGAACGGAGCGGATCGATTATAAATATCTCATTATTGTTTTTTCTTACTTTCTGTTTTTAATTTAAGTTTTTTTAACGCATCTAGACTTTAATTTATTCTCCTTCTCTTTAGTTAAGATCTCATCTTTTGCTTTTACTATTTTTTTCATATTGTAATTCATCGCAAAAATGCATGTATATATAATGACTATGCGATGTGTATTATTATAGATTTATATGAATGGCTACAATGTGATGAGGTCTGGTTCGCTGCGTGGGTTCGCTAAGCTCGAATGACTGTACAGTCATCCCCACGGGAACCCCGTTATTGTGAAAAAAATATTGGTTACAATCACCCGAAAGCTGTGTGAAATAACTCGCACACGCGCGCATACACGCATCTGTATAAATTCATTATTAGTTTAGATCGCAACATCGTTACACGGAGGTTGAATTTGTAATTACAGTGCAGCATCGCGGTCAACTATGCCTGTGGGAATCGAGGGCCTCTAGTTGCCGCGTGGACGATTTCCTTGATTGAAATTACAGCTAATGAGGACGAGTGCATATTGCAGCGCGTCGGTACGTTGATTAAGTTCAACAAACTTAGCCTTGTTACATCTTTGCGCGATCCTTCGTGCAGGGGAAATTATATTTTTTAACAATTCAAAGTCGCAATCCCAAACACATTGTTTCTCGTAATTGGACTTTACTTTCCTCTGTCGTAAATTACAGTCGCAACTTGGTCGAACGAAAATGTCCGAGTTAAATTTTCTTTAGATTTTTATCAACTGCAGCGATATTCGAATTACGAGTGTTTCGTGCTCAACGTCCGTCGTACCGGACGAAATTAATGTAAACACTAGCCTTTGTCTTAAACACGTGCTGCAATTTACGACATGTTTTATTCATGCAATTAAATTATTAATTTTGAAGGCTGATATTTTCGAGTTTGCTTTCGGAATTACGGTTCCATCGTGCGTGTGACAATACGCGCGCATTTGATACAATCGTTCGGAATGTCATAGTTAATTCATATATCACAGTTAATGCGGGACATAAATAAAATCGAGCAAGTTTTTATGTGAATGTATAACAATTATTAGTGTTTTAAGTCTTATGAGAAATTAGTACGTCTCCAAATAGAAATTAATTAGTACCGTTTTATAATAAAGTCAATTAATTATTATTAAAACAAAATTATTAAACACGATAATCGCATTATCGCTAGTATTTCAGCCAAATAATGTAGTTTTATTAGACGTCGGGGAAGGCGGGTACAAGATACTTGGGAACTATTATAATGCAACAATTTTCAGGTAACCCGGAATATCGGCTTGTCGTTAGGAAAAGTAAGATTAATCATCTCGCAACGTGTGTGCGCTCGCTCTTAGGAACTGACATCCCGTGTGCGACGAAACAAAGCCAGATATTAATTTGCGCGCGCAAATATTTGTTTGCGTCTAAACTTTCTAACGAGGTTACGTTCAGCCAAACATTCCTTCTCAAAGCAGCTAGCCTGCGAGAGGACTGTTTACGAACTACAAAGTGGTATATGACGCGCAAACCTCTGAAAACCTCAATACCGCCGCGCCTTTAAAGCAGCGAAATCCATTTATTTCCACGCGTGAAATAAGCCGGAAATATTTTCATGGTAACGCGTAGGCCGCACGACGTCGAGCTTTGACGATCATTGAAATCCATTATCGCCATTGGGTCTCGTAAATTTAGGGTAGAAGTGGATCGAGTCCGTCATTTATCAAATTATTCACTTTGAAGCATAAAGTCATACATGTCGTATATATGCAAAGTGAACGTTATAAATGATGGACTTGGCCCACTTTTGCCACGAGCTCCTCAATCGCATATATAATTAAATACATTTGATTCCTTTTCGTTTTCAGAATCGAAGTGACAGCGCACCGAAGAACACACTCATATCGGTCTGAAGGCGAGTCGCATGACGGTCGCAGGAGATGCTCTCGCGGCTGGTGGGCGAGCCGCACGGCTCCATCGTACGCCAATCAAGAGCCTGCAGTTCTAAAGATATCAAAGAACTGTGTTGAGGTCGGCGATCGCGATAGCACAGACACGGGCCTTTATGCCGGTACTCAGCGCCGGGAAGTGACGAGAGGCGCAACTGGGATTTAGGAATCCTCTCTGTTTCCTCAATTGAGAATAGGCGGGGCCGGAACAGAGCCGTCAGGATGTTGCGCAACAACGTAATGTCCTTCATGAAGAAGGTAAGTGTCGCCGTTTTCCCACGCGTGCGAAGTTTCGAGATTGCAGCAGGTCATTTATTAAGTGCAGAAATGATATCGAATTATTGACAGTAGGATTCTTTTCACGCTATTTATTCAAACTCAATTCACCGCTCAATGAATATACGATTTTAATATAGTCGAAATTGGAAACTGAGCGCTATAACATGGGTATTAATATGTAGAATAATTAAAAGTAACGCTATCCCTGATGCTGCCAGAGACAGAATGTGCAATGAAACTTAAACTATGGAACGCTAATTGTCACGGATTGGATCTCGTAGAACATAGTTTCATTCGATATACACTAATGACATTTCGTTCGTATACGGCCCCGATCGAGGAATGCGAACGAAATCACGAACGAGTATTTTTAGACGTAATGAAATGTAAAACCATGCAGATACGAATTATACGCTAAAATGTCCGTAATTACACCATGGGAGCCGAACCGCGGGAGCTGCTCGGCGATCCGTGCGAATCGAATCAAGATAGAAAACCCTCGGTAATCGATAGATCGTGCCCGGAGTACGCAGCCGGTTATTTAACGACTGGTTTTATCCTCATGGATACCCCCGGCGCATCGAATATTCAACAGTTGGCATCGATCCCCCTCGTCGAAATACGGAGCATCCGGAATGGACGATCTCAATACCGCCGCGGAGATCCGACCTGCGCCTAAGACCCCCGCGGGGATCGGCGGGCGATTAGGTATCAGCAGGTACAGCAGCGGGATCCGGGAGATCCTGAGATCAATGTCAACGCAGAGAGCTTTTATTCGTCGCAAATCGGTCGGTTACCTCCGCGAAAGTCACTTTAGAATTGTAAATTTTCCTTTAACACGATATTTCCATTCCCCTTTATCAATGGCGGCTGTTCATTTAGCATTAATTGTGCTACGTAATTCAAGCACTCGATAACTAAATGCCACAAGCCCGCATTTTAACGTCATGATGTTACAATATACGTCGTTGCAACGATATATGTGATTGAAATTGAATATTAAAATCTGCTGATATTGGAAATTAATACTGCGCTACACACTGTCATAATCGCAAATGTCACAATATTTAACGTGACGTCAAAACGGCACGAGATACTTCTATTATATATTACCGATTATTTGATTTTGTATCTTTTAACAAATAATTACAAGATTAAAAATAGAAAAAAACACATAAAAAAGAAAAAAACATTCCTTTCTTATTTCTTTTGAATAAACCCAGATAAACCAATTGCAATTAATTTAATTTGTTTTTGTGTTTCGGACATTTACTAAGAAAAGAATTGAATTCAACCGGTTAGCCGAGAATAATAACACCGCGACGGATTATTAAAGGACTGTTATATATTACTGATTATATGATTTTGTATCTTTTAACAAATAATTAGAAAATTAAAAATAGAAAAAAAACACATAAAAAAGAAAAAACATTTTTTTTCTTATTTCTTTTGAATAAACCCAGATAAACTAATTGCAATTAATTTAATTTGTTTTTGTGTTTTGGATATTTGCTAGGAAAAGAATGATTTCAGTCGGTTAACCGAGAATAATAACGCCGCAACGGATTATTAAAGGACTATTATATATTACTGATTATTTGATTTTGTATCTTTTAACAAATAATTACAAGATTAAAAATAGAAAAAAAACACATGAAAAAGGAAAAACATTTCTTTCTTACTTCTTTTGGATAAACCCAGATAAACCTAATTGCAATTAATTTAATTTGTTTTTGTGTTTCGGATATTTGCTAGAAAACGAATTGAATGCAGCCGGTTAGCCGAGAATAATAACGCCGCGACGGACTATTAAAGGATAAGGAGTTCGCACTCACGACACGTGTACTCGTGACACGAGGATTACATCCTTGATCTTCCCGCGTATAAACTTAATCGTGCATAGTCAGCGTTTCTTTACGTCTACATCCCGTATACCTCTCTCCGTATACCTTTCTTTCTTTCTTTCCCTCTCTCTCTCTGTGGAGGAAATCTCTTTGCGCCACGTCCGCGCTTTTCCAAAGGCAACCTGGCCTGGCCTGAGCCGGCCGAGAGAGAGAGAGAGAGAGAGAGAGAGAGAGAGAAAGAGAGAGAGAGAGATAAAAGCTTTTGCACGCGGCGTTCCTTCCAGCCGGTGCCGCTGGAAATGTTTGTACGTCTGTCCTCTCTTTGCCTTCTGTGTTCTCAGCTTCACGGTAGCTTTGGAATTTCCGCGCTGTATCATCTCCGCTTTCTTCTCGCTTTTACATCTCTATTTACATTAATAAGAACTTGAAAATTATATATATTTGAATTTGTTTGATTCTTTGAGTTATGATCCTTCAATTTCAGTTAATGCTGACTCCTTGAATGTAGTAATATTAAAAATATTGTAATTGCATTTAATTTTCTATTTTTATTTAAACATTTGATACATCAGTTTGTTTTTTCATCATTTCGTTTCTATGTTATCTATCTCTTTCATCTTCCTCTCCTCTCCCCCTCTTCTCTCTCTCTCTCTCTCTCTCTCTCTCTCTCGGGCGCGTGCGCTGTTTTATTTTTACATGTCTTCCGGAATTACATTGGGTGAAATTCTACTGTAGAGACACTTTGCTACTGTTATTACATTCGTTCTAATGCTTTTTTTAAAACCTACACCAGCCTGCAACATTGTTAAGTTATTCTATGCTTTATGGAAAATTCTCAACGGAGTTCTTGCAACATTAGCGTACATAATGCTCAAAGAGATGTGTTTTATGGTCAATGCGCATACGCTGCTTCTTTTATAATTGAAGGATTCTTATTTCAATAGAAGAGATATACTTCTAAAAGAATATAGCAGTATAGATATCACATATATTTTATCCTTATATATAAATTCTTATTCTACACAAGTCCGATTCATTCCTTTCACAAATTTATTTTCCATTCTTCTTTCAAAAAAAAAAATTTCGATTTATTCGTACTCCATTTAGATATTGAAAAGCATCGTCTTTGTGACGTTTTTTCTTTGCCTCACACACGTTGATCGTTCTGTGGAAGGAAAGAGAAATATCGATTGTGTTTATCGAGCAGTAGTTTCGAAATTGCCCACGGCGCAAGCTTATATTTATTTGTTTCCTGACGGCCTCAATATTCGGCAATGGTCTTAAAGGTCGATCGCGATACGGCGAAGAGATTCGGCTTTTTTTTATAGCCGCGATACCGACAAGACTTTCTTGGCGATTCTTCTCGAACACCATCGTTACTTTCATCGCCGACGTGGGAATCGGGCGCCACAAGGATTACATCGAAGATCAGATAAGATTTCATACATATGTATATTTCGTTGCGTATTAAAATATTTATAACGCGCGTAGAGCATGCTAACCACATATACATGTATAAGTCAGCGTCGCGAAGAGATCAATTGCTAATACGCAACGAGTGGAATAGCGAAAGCATATGCACAATTTGGTATTCCTTTCACGACCGATAAACCATGAATTTCCCGTGATTCAATAATGAAAATATTATTTTGACATTTTCCGTGCTGTATATGCATTATGAATGCCATAAATTTTACGGCCAGAGCTTCATTTATTTACAGCGAGCTTTTTTATTCATAAGGTCGTACTGTATGGTCGACCATTGACAGGAATAAAAGAGAAACTAGCGCGATTAAAAATGAAAAAGATGTCGAATTGAGACTCATTGATCTTAAAATAGAACAGTCCGATAATTCTATTTGGAGTATCTCTCCTCATGTCACGAACTTTATTAATATATCGTCTCCCTTTCAATTACACGCAATTTCACAGACTTCATCTGAAATTTCTTCAAAGTGCCAGGCACATATCACGGCGCGGCGAAATGACGCGTAATCTCGTTAAAGGCGTGCTCCCTCCGCCAGTCATCTTCATTCTCTTATGGGACCGGAATTTTCAACTTTTCCCGCGTCTCTCATCTCCCTAGCGAAGGCTGCATGAAATCCATGTCGTCCCACTAAATCATCGCCCTCCTCCCGCTCGTCGCGTTCCATCGCTCCCGCCTACCCCCTCCCGCCCCTACTCACCCCCCTCCTCCGCGCGATATCGTAAGCAAACTTTTATTAACAAACTTTTGTCATAAAGCTGTATCAGTGCTAACGACTGGAGCCCGCAAGCTTGTCATTTCCAGCGCCGCGAAAAGGAGAGAGCTTCGTTCTCTCGAGAAGAAAAATCATAAACTCCTTCGAGAGAAACGCGCGAACCGATTCCTCCCCTCCCCCCCCCCCCTCCATGACGCAAGCGGCGCCGACGAAATTTTCCGCTGACGCGCATTTCCACCGTGGGCTGATCGCAACCCCGGCAAATGCGAGAAACTCTAGAAACTTGAGAGAACATAGGATGAAAGGTCTCGGATCTCGCGCGATTTTCCACGTCTTGAAAATTGTATGGAAAATGCGGCGCGCGCTGCGCCCACGCATCCCAGACGGCTTCTCGGTTATGATCGCGCTCTAATATACACACAGTTGTTTTCAGAAACGTTTTGCTATACATATTATTGTAAGTGCTACAGCAAACACTGCGGTAATACAGTTGTCGCAACGGCGCCGTCTTATTCCATTTTGTTATTTCGCTGCGGCGCGGCTTATTGTTTCCGAGTACTTCATATTTTCTATCGGGAAACTGCTGTTTTAGTATATATGCGAGTACATTATACACACACATACATATATGTATATATGCGCACTGAGTCTTATAATAAATATGTAAAATACGCAGTGCGGAATTAAATGTATATTTAAAGAACATTTTTATTTAATATTATGACAAAGAATTATTACTATTTTAGGTACTTTTTTATTGAATCACGTTCAATGATTTGTTAATTTTCATTTCATGCAATGAAGCTTGCGTTGAATGTTTTATATATAGGAAAATGGTGTAGTCTGCAGCTAAATTGTGAAGCATTTTGAGAACGTGACCATGATATTTGTTTAAGCTATTTCGAAATTAATCAGATCAATATTGATACTTAAT